GTATGTATGTATGTATGTATGTATGTATGTATGTATGTATGTATGTATGTATGTATGTATGTATGTATGTATGTATGTATGTATGTATGTATTATTGTAGAGTAAAAATCGAAGAATATTTTTAAATTTGATTGGAATTTGATTTTATCTTTGACTGCCTGAGGATAAGAATAAAAGAATCAGATGATGATTCTGATGATGATCAGAATCGTCACGATTAAATATAAAGAAATCATCGGCAGCTTTCAATGGCAAAGATTTCTTACAAAATTGTCTTGTTCCCGTTATTCAAACATTTTTTGTAATAATTTTGAAACAAAAAACACTCTGCGAGGCTGTCACGTTAGACACAGTATATTGTTTATTTCTCCAGATCAAACGAATTGTCCTGGCGGTTAAAAAAACAAATACTCAGCAGATGAATGAGCCGTATACAGTACACAGTGCAATGCTCTGCTTTTTATGTTTACTTTTTTACTTTAACGTTTAAGATATAACAATCTAATGTTATAATGTTTAACAATGCAAAGGCCCAATTGCCTAAAATTAATTTTCAATTTTTGAAATGTTGAGGCATTATTTTTCATTTACTAAACTAATGATCCTGCGTCATTGCTTACGTGTTAATTATTAATCCTGCTGCACTAACGCTTTAAGACCTGTAGATGTCAGCCTCCAGATTCAACTGAAGCAAGCTTGCTAATGCACACATGCACAATTTCAGTGCTTTGTTACATTAAACCCTACAGTTGCATTACAAGTACACAGAATTTAGTGTCTGCGTCTTTGGGGCTTGATCGGTTTTGCTTGATGTGCAGTTCAGCTGAGTCACAGCCTGTGTTTCTAATGTCAACACCGGGAGTCTTTGTAGAGGTTACAAGACAGCATCGTGAAATCTCTCTGCAGCTGCGTGGAAATTAAAAACCACTTAAATCAACAGTACAGCAGAACTGAGTTATTTATAATATGTGCAAAGGATCCGTTCATGATGACTGTCTCCTGCTTTGTGACATGAAAACAGACCATGCAACATCTGGTTGGAATCAAGGTCCAGGAAATTAATAGTAGCGTATTGATCCTTTGAGTGTGGTCCGAACGCCAGATATAGCTAACTAAAATGAAAACAACAGCTAGACTTTTGAAGGAAATTTCTGAAACCATTTTGCGAATATATATATATGGTGTCTGCAAAACAGCGAGGCAGCTGCTTTCAAAAAGTTGTGTTTTTTAATGTAATACTTCTGCTGATTTTCCTAATTGTGCATGCCCTTCATACAATGATAATTAAAAAGAACATTTTCAAACAAGAAAAACCAAACTGAAACATGAACCCCCTGGAAATGAACTGAATCTGAAGTGACTTAAAAACAAAAAGTCAAAAGGCTGTATATATTTCAAGTTTTGCGAGTTTTAGGATTCACAGTACGTTTAACAGTATATTGTAAAGGGGGAAAACTACTACTTATGGGATGTATTAATATGCCTAAAAAATATGTGTCAGAAATTGCACCTTTATAGATTTCCTGACACTAAAAAAGGTCAAATGAAAGTTCAGAGTAAAGGTTAGAAGGTAAAGAAGATTTAATGTGATAAAGAAAACATGTTACATTTGATGCAGTTTTAATTGGATGCATGGCACAGGTAGACTGGCCATTGGAAAATTGAAAACTACATCCATTTGGGTGACTTTTACTAGAATTCAAGGGTTAAAGTTTCTTTTTGCCAGTTTAAGCATCATTTCAACATTCCCAGAGTCTTTCTCTTGGTGCCAAGGTTTTTAAAGATGTCACTCACCCACAGTTTCTCTCATACTATGACACAGAAATGCAGATACATGACAATACATTTCTCTTTGTTTGTTTTAGTTATCATAGCCAACTAAATGGTCCTAACACTGACAAATGATGACAAGTGATGTCATGAAATATAACAGCTGTCTCACTAATGATTAAAAATAACTATAAATTAGTAAAAATGACTGAATATTATAATGAATAGTTTGTCATATTCAAATCAGCTCTTTTGGATTTTAACTGAGACAAGAAGTGAGCTCAAAAAGTTATTCAGTTTGAAAAGTTGCCAGTTTTTGCCCCATCTGTGAAAACGCCTCAAACTGGATTCAGTTTCCCTTGAAGTACACAGTAAACGCAGTCACTGGCTGGTTCAATCAGTGGTTTAGCATTAGGATGTAAAGGTCGAGAAGAAACACTAGATGAGAGTCTGATTCTCAGGATAACAAACCCTTGTCCTCTTATCTTTAGATTTTGAGTCTCATTCTTTGTTGAAGACCTTTATGTTACACTCAATATTACGTCAAAACCACCCCCCACTTCCTCTGCTCAGCAGCATACTGAGGACAACATGACAGACCACAGTCCCCACACAGATTCTTCAGCTGGGCAGAAATTAAAACGTTTGATCTGAATTCTGAAGCTGTTTGTTTGCGCTGCCTAAATGGGGCTATTGTATGCAAATTCTTTGCACAGAGGCATATGACCTCCCCAGTGCAGGGCAGTGGCTAGTGTGAGGGAAATCATTAGCAATGCAAAGTCATGGTGCTCTGATACTCTTGTTCACAGTCAAAGACTGGAAAAAAAAACATCTGATCTGGTGATGCTAACTTAAATGTTTCTGGATGCACTTTATTTGCAAGCAGAGCTAAGGTAAGTTCATTTTATTGATGGCTTTGTTCCTACATCATGTGGCTGCGCGGATGGACAGTTTAAATAGTTTCTTTTCAGCGTGTTCATTTATTCTGTGCTCATTGGCAGATCATGCTTAGCTGTTAATGTCACTTCACACTATATTCACAAGATATGATTAGGATAAAAAAGAAAATGAGACTCTTTTCCAAACATGTTCTTTTTGTGAGTTCGTCCGAGAAGTGATGATCAGACAACATTATTTATTTGCAGTCCTTGTTAGTTATTTCTATCTGCCTGATCAGTGAATTGTGTGAAAACCTTCTAAGCTAAGAAGCAGAAGAGTCCTTCTATGTAACTTATCAACGTCCTTTAGGAGCACAAATGATTTTCCTGCCGGTGAGTGGTGACTATCCAAGAGTCTGTTAATCCAGCTACAGTTGCTCATTTTGCATGCAACACCATGGCTACTGGTGAAAGCATGTCACATGACACATGGTGCCAGACCTCGGTATTGCACTCTTAAGTGGGCTGCCAGCTGCAGAGGGGGGCAGAGAGGCTTTTTTCCTTCTCTGGACTCACATCCATGCCAAACCAGCGGGTCAACATTGTCCTCCACGCTGCCTCCTATGCCTCTTACACCTCCAGCTGAGCCCGGTAACAACTCCAACATTTACTCTAGACTCAGACATAACAGAGCAATCAGTAATGATCAACACCAAGGGGATCAAACATGCTACAATTTAAGCCTAAGAAGAATCATAGGCGTAAAAAAGAAAAAGCTGTGATGTACTCATTACTATTAATTTACCAAGTCCAGCCAAAGTGTGGCTGCACCATGTGTTCTGATTTAAGTCAAGTGTGCAGGTTGCTATTATTTAAAGTGAATAAGTAAGACAGTATTGTGTTTATTAAGTTTTAAGTTTGCTGTTGAAAAGTGAAACTGAAGTTCTCCTTTGTGTCTGACTTTGACATTCAGGAGAACTTTTAGAGAATTTTTAGAGAGTTATATTTCCTGCCTTTTTAATCTAAAGTATTTTTTTCTTGTTCTAAGTTTGATGCATAGATCATTTTCATGCGCATAATCTTTTACATAATATTTCCTGATGATTTTCAAGCAATAGTTTTAACTTAAGTGTCACTCTAACACCTTCAGAAAGAGCTGATGCATGATGATGTGTGCAAATTGTTTTCTCATAATCCATATATATTCAGTTTTATGTCACAGAAGGCAATAAGTACAAACAATCCTCACAACAGAAACTGGAGGGAGATTTTCTGCTTTTAGAAAAAAAAAAGGCGCTTTTTCACTCAGAAAATTAACCGAACGATCAACAAATCAATTATTTCGTGAAGCTGCTGTTGTGAAGTTTACTTGTACTGAAGGGCCAGTAATTTTGTGCCTGTTATGTCACAATATGGGATTTGTTAGTGATTTTTTTATAAAGCAAATTTTTAAGTATTTTTAGGAACTTCAAGGGAATTTTGGTTAAACATGCAAGAGTCCTGCAAGTCCTGAGGAGTTAATGTGATGAAGTAATTTATACATCAGGGCAAAGGGAGGATATACTGAACAGAAACACAGGGGGACTGATCCCGGGTAAATTTGCATCGGTCAACTCTCCAGAGTATAGCCTTACACATGGGATTTACTGTACATCATTTGCATTGCTTCACTTGCTAATTTTTGGTTCTACTTTTTTGGAAACAAATTGTCCAAGTGAGAGCTTGGCAGGCCTTTTTTTAAGATTTAAGAAGCCTTCATTTTTGCCGAATGGCTACATGCGAAGAAGACAGTCTTATTTGAATGTCTAATCTCAAACAGTAAGAATTATCATAAGATCAGATCAGAGAAACTCTTGTCATAGCAGCATGCATATAATAGACAACAAAGCAATCACATAAAAAAGCAGAGAAATATAAAAATGAATATAAAAAAGAGATGATTTTAATCATTTTCTTTTATCATTTTATGGTTTGTTTTACATTATTGTGTTGATTTGCAGTAAAATTATTTTACAATAAAAAAAATTTAATTACAAAAAAATGATATCATATGATTTTTGTGTTTGTTTGTTTCAGACCCGGAACCAAAGATGAACTGGGCATCATTTTATGCTGTCATTAGCGGTGTGAACCGCCACTCCACCGGCATCGGTCGAATCTGGCTCTCCGTGCTCTTCATTTTCCGCATCCTGGTCCTCGTGGTTGCAGCCGAGAGCGTGTGGGGCGACGAGAAGTCTGGCTTCACCTGCAACACGCAGCAGCCGGGTTGCAACAGTGTCTGCTACGACCACTTCTTCCCCATCTCCCACATTCGACTCTGGGCACTCCAGCTCATCCTGGTCTCCACTCCTGCCCTGCTGGTAGCCATGCACGTTGCCCATCGGCGTCATGTTGACAAGAGGCTCTACAAACTGTCGGGCCGGTCCAACCCGAAAGACCTGGAGCAGATAAAAACACAGAAGATGAAAATCACTGGGGCCCTATGGTGGACATACGTCATCAGCCTTTTATTCCGTATCATCTTTGAGGTCACTTTTATGTATGTGTTTTATATGATCTACCCTGGTTACAAGATGATCCGGCTGGTGAAGTGCGACTCCTACCCATGTCCCAACACGGTGGACTGCTTTGTGTCGAGACCCACAGAGAAGACTGTCTTCACCGTGTTCATGTTGGCTGTGTCAGGTGTTTGTATTCTACTCAACATTGCCGAGGTGGTCTTCTTGGTGGGGAAGGCTTGCAGCAAGCATTTGCACAATGCTGGAGACTCGACTATGGGGGCTTGGATCCAACAAAAGCTTTGCTCATTCTAACAAAATGCACAGCAGCACAAAGGAGACATATAAGTGACCATTTAGGTAACAACTACTGATTAAACTTGTGAGGTTTATATCATGGCGATGCTTCACCGGTTCAAATGCAGAAAGCCAGCAGTTCATGTTTCGACAAACATTTCTAGTTATAATGGATAGCTTGGTGTTTGTCTGACTGCAGATCAGTTAAAAACATTTAATAAACCAATATTCCCACTGACCACATTACAGCCTTCAGCTATCATGGATTTGTTTTAATCTTTATCTTGAAATGAAACTATAAAAGCTGCCGAAAATGATAGCAAAACTTCCAGTTGGTTGAGAAAAGTGTATTGTGGGCATGGTCATTAATAATATTTTGTTATTTATGTGACACATAATCACAAACACTGATGTGAGTGAAATTATACTAATACATGCATGTAGTAAATATGTTGCATTTCATATGTATTGAATGGGGCAGTCACATTATTTGAATTGGCGGTTCAATACTTTCACTTGGAAAGACAGTAATAGAAAAAAACTTGAATTGCATTTTTTTGTGTGAAGCTTTCTTAACATGGTGGTATTTCTATTTAAATGTATTTATTTTGAAAGTGGAATGTTTCTATGTTGTCCATACACAACAGAATAAAATCAACCAGACTTTAAACTAACTGTGCTGTTTTTACCTACTCGGTTAAAGGGGATTTGTTCTGACACATAACAGATTGAAAGCTGTTTAAGCGTACTCTGGCAGGACTTCCCGGCTCTGTGGAAAGGTGATAGAATAAACGACCAGCGGGCGGTGGTTAACGATAGGTACAAATAAAGCTGAGGCCACAGAGGTGCCGGTGTCAGAAGTGTGACTGAGGGAAACAAAATATGTGAACGAAACATCCTCACGCATTTCACCCCATCAACCCCACCGTGTGTGAGATCTTCAAAGTCACCTGCGAAGAACTGTCTCAGGTGTTATTGGTGTTGGTGTTATCAGTGGACCCACCATATAGGAGTTTCAGTGTGTGGATACCCCCATAGACAGCTGAACCTGCTGTCCCAGAGAAATGAGGTTGTTTCTCTTTTTATGGAAACCATCACCACACATTATTCAAGAAGGCAAATTAATTTACAGTAAAACGGCTTTAAGTGTGCTTATTTTGCAGATGGCCTTCCGCAAAACACCCCAAGTGAAAGTGATTTTAATCCAGTATGTCTTTTTTCACAGTGTTATTTTGTGATGAGTAATTGTACTTGTGTACAGGTAAATAAACTTCTGTTGTCTTTTCTGATGCTTTAATAGAGGGACCTTAACCCTTGTGTTGTCCTTGGGTCATTTTTGCCCTCTAAAGAAATCTTTTGCTATCAAAAATGTGTTTTTTATTCATCAAATGGAACAGAAGTTATTCATTACTATGCTATGCATGATTGGAATAAGTTTTAAGTAATTAGATTGATTTATGGGGTTTTTATTGGATTTTATAACACCTGTGGTCCTCGTGGACAAAAATGACCCCAAAGTACAAAGTGTTGCAAAGAGCCGTATTTTCACACCATACTGCTTTCAAACATCTTTGATCTTGGATCACTGATGTGTGGGGTCAAGCACTGGTCATAACAACCACAACAACAACAACAACAACAACAACAGGCAGCACAATGAGGAGGCAGGTGCTCTATATTCAATGAAATCTTATTTATACGGCGCCAAATCACAACAACAGTCGCATCAAGGTGCTTCGTATTGTAAGGTAGACCCTACAATAATACATACACAGAAAGTATGCTCACAAGCCTCCATTGCACTGGAGATTTGCATACTTTGATGAGCATACTTCTTTTTTTTTACCATGTTGTGCAAAGCAATGACCAGTAGGACAAAGCACATATTGTCCTAGTATAATGAGGAGGGAGAATCAATGTTCAGGAAGATCCAGGGTTAGAAGATATAGAAAATATTGTCAATATTTAGAGCACATGCTATCCTTTCTCTGAAAAAGCACATCACTCACCCACAGAAGTGGAAGAAGGCTATGAAGTGAAGGAAAGTGATGAAGAATCTGAACTATGTTCAAGTAGGTTCTCAGGCATCCAGGACATGGTAGTCTGAGGAGCTTGGA